GTGGTCTCATAATCGATAGTTCAACAGTAACAGATCCAGGGATGGCACAGTCGGGCGGCATTTACCTCCTTATCTTATTGATGAAAATACATTTCCATTTGCCCTAATTACAATTTTGTTTTCTTTCAACTGCAGATAAATTTGACATTTTCAAAAAGAGATTGTCACAAAAATATTTCCCACTCAATATACTGGATGGACCGTCTTGAATCACCCCCTTCCTATGCGTTTCAACTGACGCTCTGTCTGGTGAACGGTTATCTATCACTGTCCAGACATGTCTGCCTCCAAAAATACAAACACGAAAATGAGGAAACAAACTCAAAACAAACGAACATTTCCTTCCTGTTAGAATTTCACCAACAGAAAATGACAGCGAGAATCCCATGCATGTCAAATCAGTAAAGGTATTCGTTCCCCCCCCCCCTCATTCTCCTAGGTCGGTTGGGGGACCTGGGGAGAGTATGTCTATTAACACGTTTCCCAACAATTTTCTCCAGGGTTGTAGGCCTGAGTCTTCACTCCATATTTAATACGTGTAGATGCGTGGACTATTTATAGACTAGCTGTAGCTCTAGAAGCCACGGCGGTTTACAAAAACCAACTCTCTCAACGCCTAGAAAACTGGAGTGGCCTCTACCCCTTCCCACACACTCTAGAGATCCTCCTTTTGCTGGTAGTTCTGCATTGGAAGCTTTACTGATGTGGAAATGATGCTCATGTCAAAGCTGCCTGTGCAACCTTTTTGTGTCTGCATAAACTCTACATCACTGTCTTTGGGCTCAAAAAAGGCATCTGGCCATCAAATAAGTGATACGTCTACCGCTCAGTTGTTCCTGTCAATCTCCTTTATGCCATGGAAACCTACACTCTTTACAGCAACCTCTGAGGCATCCTGCACAGCTTCGGCTGAGGAAAGTCGTCATCATGCTTCCCCTCCACCAGTCCAGGATCCTGGTAATCCAACCCTTGTGTGTGTCAAGTGTAGGCGTGTTTGCCATAAATGATGATAACGAGCTTGAGAAGGCTCAAAATGTAAATTTGTAAATGTAAATGTTTATTAACTTACAATGGAGGTATTTCATGATACAGTGCGCCACCAAGATGTTGCCGCGGAGACACCATTTTTTTAAAATACAGATTTATAGTCACCTTTCTGCAATTTGCATTTGACAGTTTGTCAGTGGACAGCCAGGAGAAGATTTTGATTGATTTGGACATTCCATGCAACAGATACGAAAGGATTAACTCAAAGCTCTAGGCGAAATACACTTTAAAATGTTGGTAACCTGAACCTGACTGATTTTGACCATAATACTGAAACGATTGCCCTTTCATCTGGTGCTACCATTCTCCGTTTTCCCTTAGATATAGACAGCATTTGTGTGATGAGAATGTTTCACGAGAAATGTACACCCCATAAAACCTCCCCGTGTAGAAACATTAGTTTGCACACCAAACAACCTACTTTGTACATGTTTTTGTTACAAGACATTTTTTACCCCATGGTTTGCATTTGTAATCTTTGCGCACCGTCCTGATTTTTCATTGTAATACATATACAATATTCGCAATCCCAGTTAAACAGTGTCTTAATTTTAATCTCTATTTTTCACTGTACATTGCAGCAGCGCGTATTGTGACGTGACAGAGGGTGCTAGTCACTAGGCCCGGTGTTAAGTTATAGATGGCGCTCTGCACAGTAACAAGGGCAAATGTTACGCGCGCATAACCGTGCGTTTAAGTGAGCGCGGTGCATAGGCTCCGCCTTGGACGTAAGGGGATTGGTTAGCGAAAGTCACCGCCTGGTTGCAGCAGCGGCCAGCTCGCGAAGCTGTGGGGGGGGGAGGTGCGCAGGCAAGCAAGATTTAGTCGGGGCTGATACTGAGGTAAAGGTCGAGAATCCTGTGCAAGGGTTAAAGTCACCTAGCCTAGTGTGACTGTGCCTAAGTCCCGAGGGGTGCATGTGTCGTTGAGGGGCTCGGGAGGTTGAGGGCTAATTGATGGTGCAGTATACTTCCTGATAGTCTTGCGGTCGAGAAACTGAGGCAGATTGATATCTTGTGACGTGGGTTGCGTGTATGCAGCCCTGAAAGCCCCGGACTTGGCACAGGGTGCCCACAAATAATTGTTGTGTTCGCTGCTCTGGGCGAAGTCCAGTCACGTATAATCATACGGTCTCCCCGTCAATAGCGCCCTCTACTAGTGTATTGATTGAGTGCGATTGAAGGGGCGTTGATGAACCAGTCATTTTGATCGTTGTATATAAGTAAGGTGTCTAAACGGAGTTTATTTCAAGACAGTGCTGTCAAGGTTGCGTCACTGGCTGAGTTCGGGTGGCTTGTTCCCGGATATTCACGAACAGCTCGATTTGTTGTTCGTGGGTCGGCCGCTCGAACGACGGGAACAAACAAACGGTTATCGCTGGCAGTTAGTGACAAGCAACTTGCAATATGGCGGCGTCCATGTAGGCTACGTTATTCATGAGTTAATGTTTGGAAGGGCTGAATTCTTTTCTATATAAGCAGGAACATTCATTTCTGTTTTACGGAAAATAATTAATGTTAATTCTGCAAAACCTCCCATTGTCTATGGCTTTGGAAGCCATCTCTCTACTTTATGCAGCTGTTCAAAAATCAAACTCTCACGAGTTTTTCCGTGTGTTCCTGTAAAACCCTGACGAAGAGGTGGTGTGTGATCCTGTGAGTCGTGTTCCCGCCGTTTGAGCGCGAGAGCAAGAAACCCGTGTCAAGAATAGGCCGCACGAAGTCGACCATTACGTTTTGGGCCAATCAGATTAAGCATCATCTCAACAAAGACCAGATATCATCGAACTTTCTTGGGAGACGATAAAAAGGTATATTTCCATCCCTACCAACCCATTCCTAGCGGCTCAGGGGCTTTCCGGTGCGGCGTGCTGTCACGCCTCGAAGGAGTACGAGGGCGCCCTCGCCTTCGTCGGAGGGGCATGACGTCACAGTGGTTGCGTACGATTAGCTTCCCTGAACACACTAGTGTTGCATGCAAGAGAAGCCTCGAAATGAGGCTAATCAAACGCTGCAGTATATTCGCCAAGGCATTCTGGGAAAAAGGTCAAGTCCCCGCCACGTTCCATCATGTACGTGCATGCTTGAACAATCCATCCGTGACGTCATTACACTCGGGCAGCCTCCAGAGGCCCGCTCGCCAGCTGGGGTAGTGGTGGCTGACACCAGGGCAGTCACGGAGATCATGTGATGGCTATACGAACGCTCTCGTATAAGTTTGACGTACACGTGTTAGCTAATCGAACGCACCTTTTATAACAAAGGGGACTCTTCAGTGTGTTGTGTATGACAGTGTATATTCTTTTCAATAGAGGGCAAATGACCGAAATCAGACAGATTGCCATCGGATACCTGATTCCTATGTTGCTTTAATCTGGTGTTGTCCTTTTTTCACATTCAGATCTACTTTCATCGGATATATGAGCTGTGCTTTAGTAAATCATTAATTGATAACACTGTTGAAACTGAATCCAAAATCATATATACAATTCAATATTTGATTCCAAAACAAATTGAAATTAGACATCAAGTTTTTAAATGATGGAAATCAACAACTAAATTCAGTTTCAGCTTTATGCAATCTAACAAAAGTGAACCTTTTGTATCTTAGAATGGCCTGTTTTGTTTTTCACTTGGATCTGCTTATTTTTGGGTGATACTGGAAGGTCCTTTAAGTTCTTGCATCACAGTTTCTATGGGACTTATTTCCAGGTTGCTTAATACACATACAATCTCGTACCAATACTGCAATAAACAAATTGCTTCTTTTGGGTATTTATTTTTAAATAAATAAGGTTTTCCATGCAGGTGAAATAATTGAATGGTCCAAAGTTCTCTTAGCGGTGGTGCAGTTTTATTTCCAGATTTTTGAAATTTGTCCAAATATCAGTCTGGTAATAAGCACATTTATGTGAGTGTTTCTAAGATTTGGCGGAGGGGAATTGTTCTTAAGTTACGTACTAGGCCTGTCCATAAATATTCTGAAACAGTTTTCTCGATTTCCCGGGATTCTGTTAGAATCTTTTCTAGCTTCTGTCACTTTCCTTTTAACACAGTTTCCCTTTGATACAGGATTCCTACACAATAAATCTACAAGACGAGTTTGTTCAACATTTTTCTATTTATCTTCCTTTATACATGCACTTTCAAACTGTAGTGTCTATTTTCTTTCTCAATTTAACCTCACAGGACGATTTACATTTTCACAACTGTCAGTTCCCGGTCCAGTCCCTAAAAGTCAAACCTTGCTCAGGACCTGCGAGAAAAACTCTGAGAACCCAGCGTAGGTTTCTTCTCCACAAGGCTCAATCTGATTCTCAGGCAACTCAAACCCGTAATGTCCTGTGTCCCGCATTTCCACGGTGTAGGAGTATGTGGCCCCTAAGGTCTCGTAACCGAAGTCCTCACTCGACCCAGCTGCCGGGTCTGTCAAACACAAAGTTGGGGGGTAACAAATTTGATGAATAGCTACTTCAACAAGCACTTTCCCACAGTTCTCCACAATCCCTTACCAGCTACACGTTTGTGCTTGAATTTGCAAGGTGCATCGAGGCGTGTGCGGAAAAGCAGTGGCTTTTCTCTACCTTCCTCAGTCTTTCAAAATCCTTTCAATCGTGATGGATTTGGAAGAATTTGAGTGAGTTAAAGTTAATTTCAAACCAAGGAAGTCAGTAAGTTTATCAGTTTGTTTTAAACTACACCATGACTGTTTGTTCAAGTGAAAATAAGTTCAGGCTGCAAACCTGCTTTTACGGGTCAAAATTCTTGCTTCTTGATTTGTCCCTCAGTTATCTGCGATTTCACTTCGTTCGCTGATTCAACTTGTGAATTCAGGCTAATTTTGCTCTCTCTCTAAACACAAAAAATAATAATACTGCAGCACAGGTGTGAAATGACTGGCAAGACAGTTCAACTTTGGTCTTTCCCAAACTTCACATTATGACGCAAACATAAGCCCACTTTCGAGGAGAAAATTTTAAATCAAGGTGCTGTTTATTGATACTTCTCAAAAGTACTTACACCATCTTCCAGACTGTATTACTGTGTATTGTGTGCCATGCACTGCTGCCAGTTTCCCCGTTGCCGCCTTGGCCACTCTCTCCTGTAAAGTGAAGCAGCAGAAAAACAAATCGTAGGACTTGAATTATTAGCATCGCGTGTGTCGGTTTATGAGAGACTTCGAAGATTTGATCGTAGTTGGACTTTTCTGTTGTTAGTCTAAGCAAAATGAACCATGAAACAAATCAAATACATAAACTGACTAGGTGCTTATAAATATGAACAAATAAATTGACTGGAGCAGGATTTGAACCTGCGGCCTCTGGAATACTGTACCAGTGATCTACCAACTGAGCTCCCCAGTTGATGAAAAGGCGAACTGGTTTGACTAGGATTGGAAGTTCCAGAAAAATTATCAGAAATTAAATTTCCTAAAAGCTTTCTTCAAATAAATTCCCCAAAAAGATTTACAAAGTTTGTTTTTAAGTGGCAGATGGTAAAAGTGGGCATCACCTACCTCCACCCCAGCTCAATCAAGTGTCAATCAAGGGACAGTTGGTCATGATCTTGCTCGATTCATACGCTGATTCATACGCCATTAAACTAGTCTGATTGTGCCATCCCACACACAGTACACCAACAATATACAGTATACCTACCAACTCAGTGTCATCACTGGTCTTGACACCGGAAGTGTAACTATACGGATAGACCCAGTACTGGCCGTAGCTGTGGACATCCACGTGGATCATAAAGGTCTGACTTTTCTTCAGGTTGAGTAGCCAGTTCGTGACCAACTGGAGTTCTTGAGCTTCGTATGCGTAATCACCTCTGTAAATATCACTGCAAGGACTACCAGATGTACCTTCACCACCTTGGACAAAGTGAATAAAGTTCTTGTTAATAATCTTCTACAAAAGGCTGAAGAAAATACTGTGTATGCATATACATTGTAAGATGGTTGAATCTGTTTGCTTGACTTGAAAACCTTCGAGCTTTAAACATAAACTTTGATGTCTAAAATAATATTTCTTTCCATGGCATTGTGTTGCTGCTTCTCCTGTTTTTTCAATTTCCACCGGGTTAATGGGCTAAAAAAGTGAAGATCAAGCCCTCATCTTTTGCACAAAGTTTGGCTTCATATGATTTTTGGTCCAGAAACACACATGAAATAACCAAACTGAACCAAACATATCATAACGTTTGAGTTCAGAAAGAAAATGGGCATCCCCAAAAATAACAGTCCTTTAAAGGAGACGTGAAAAGAGTATTTTACAACTTGAATGTGTTTGAGAAAGCTTTCTTGCAATACTTTAATATTCCATCTCCTTTGTGCCAGTAAAAAAGAAACATCAACATTTTGATTTTTATGGGTAATGGTTTCCATGCATAATGGCTGAACATGAATGGCTCAGTAGCTATGTGTAAAAATATATAAAACACGTTTCTAACTTTTCTTCGAGAAAGTTCCACTTTGTACCTTGTTATCAAGAGTATTCAACTGTTGGGACAACAGAAATAAGCCTTCAAATCCTTGAAAAACAATTGTTTGTTACCTTTTCTTATGCTCTTTTGACAAGTAGTGCCTTGTGTGACTAAAGAAAACTTGCACTGATTAATAAACAACCGTTCAATACTGAATTCAAAATGGAAATACCACCCTCTTGAAATTTCTACAAACCTTTTCCATCCATACCAAACCCGGACCGTTATTTATAAATAAAAGTAAGGTGAAGATATTTGGACTAAACTCATATTCCACAAATTTTTCTCTCCTGATGTGTATACAAATCGCCATTTTACCACTTACTCAATTAGGAAATAAGATTACCCCATTTGTAGCCATAATTTCTGTTCATGTCGATTCCTTTACAGAAGAAAGAAACTGATTGACGATTCTTGCGCCACAAACGGTTGTTGGATGACTGTAAAAAACATGGAAGTGAACTGTATTATAAACTACTTTTGGTTCTTTATTTCATTGGTAAATTAGGATGTGTGTCAGGTTGATAATTACTTTTGAAAGCCCCAGAAAATCAAAATACAGTTTGAAAATTGTTTATAGGTCTAAGTTGTCTTCAACCATATTATTTGAGGCAGCCTTCAAAATCAAAAAAATCTAATTACAAACGTATATCTGACGTTCTGTGCGACCGGTGGAAGACTTTTAAGTTTGTCGCCGAGAGTTAAGGATTTTATTGCAGTCGTTTATCTATTGCGTTTGGAGGGTATTTTGGGCACATTGAATCAAATGAAAGTGGAGGGTTTTCTGGAAGTGATGATCAAGATGTAGAGAAGAGAAAAATCACCCTGTATTTCACGAACTCATGTTTATGCATTGGGTACGAAGCTGTGTCAGGGACGTATTAAAAAATCACTCTCAGTTCCGAGTTTAGAATCAATACGTGCGAGCCAACAGTAGTACGTAATTTTCACTTACGACACACGGATTTGTGCCTCAGGGGTACAGGGGACAACAATGTGCATGTTCCTCTATAGACTTGTTTTTCAGTACATTTCCACTGTCACCACCCAAGCTCAGTATTTTGCACTTTATATTAAAAGGCGGGAAGTAACCAATTTTGTGGGAATATCAGACCAAGAGGGGAGCTTTGAGTCAAGCAATTTGTGGCTGATGTTCCATTGGGTTATTGAATTGTTGAAAAAAAAAATCAGACTTACCGACTCTGGGCGAGTGTAGTGGTAACCATCAACGTTGAGTAGAGGGAGAACGTACCAGTCGAACTTGTTGAAAAACTGGGTGGCTACGCTGTCCCCACTCTTGAAGGCTGCAACGAACTGGTTAAATCAAACTGGGCGTCAAAAGGGTTGAATTGCTTAGGGACTGTATAGAATCGAGAATATCTTGATTCTTTGAGTATAGGGGTCGATAGGTAAAAGGGCATTTTTTGTAGACTATACTGCACTGAGGTACATCTCATCAGCATCAGAGGAACACTGGAAAACAAGGAAAAGGGAAACGGACAAACTTCTACAGATGCAGGTCCCATGCCCTCGGTGTGTGCCCCCGAAGGAAAAAAACCACAAGCGTACTCGGGTGGGACTCGAACCCACGACCTCCTGCATACTTGTGCAGACTTCTTAACCATTGACCATCGGGCTTGCCGGTGTCGGTCAGCTGGTTCAAATCAAATGTAGTGGTGGGTACCGCGAACAACTATTTCAAGGATGGATTTGCCCCCGGGGAGATGTAAATTAATTTTGGATTTTTGCCCTGCAAGGCGGGTTGGCTTTAGGTAAACCTGAGGTCAACAAATCCACTAATCCACTAATAATTGGCGCCGTTTACTTGCCAAATAAATGGGCTGAACATTTGGCAAATACGCGGAATGCAATTAAGAATCTAAACCTTAAACATTATTATTAAACATTAAAACCTTAAATTTTAATCTTAAAGTCTTTAATGATGGTGAGTGTAAAAGAAACTAACGATTTTTCTACGAAGCCCAGTTGACACAGATGGCGAACTGCCCAACTAGAGATACACCTGTCTCTAGTACAATATACATTTACCGACTTGATTCTAGCTTCCCATCCTGGAAACATTAAATGTTACCAGGTTACCAATGTTCAGGTTATGTTCAGGGCATTGAACTAAAGTGCTTTGAATCATACCTTTTAGTGGTAGACTGCAACAGAAACAAATCGACGACACTGTTTCTGGTTTAAATCACAGTGGGGGTTCCTCAAGGGTCCATCTTAATTGGGACCCTCGCTTTTTACTATTTATATAAACAGCCTCCAACTAAGTTTATCAACCACGGAATGCAAAGTTAACGTGCATGCTGATGACACGGTCTCACACCACAGCAGACAGAAAAAGACATTACACTCACCTAACACTAAATGTTTGCAAAACCAAGTTTATGGTATTTGGTACGCTTCTCATCTTTTACGTCACTTTGAGACCAAACACATTTTCTTGAATGGATAAAATACTTGACCGAGTCAAAGCCTACATATATCTTGGAGTCATGCTGGTCAGGATGAGAATTTGTCTATGGCAGAGCTAAATCAGTTTTACCCCGCTCTACTCTAAATCGTTAAGTTGTGCCACGGTGTTCCCACTTTCCGATTATTGTTCCGTGTTCTGGTGTCAACTGCTCTAAAAGCCTGAGCGACAAGCTTATTATTTTACATAGTCAGCTTGCTATAATCGATCAGCTTGCTATAATCGATCGATACTCATCCACTGACACCCACTGCAGAACTGCGCAATACCCTTGTCTCGGAAAAGTCTTCCTGACAGGTGGCATTGTATAATCATGAATGTGTGAAGGGTTATAAGTGCGTCCATAATATGAACCCAGCATATCTTTGTGAAAATTTCCAACCATCGGGTCTCCTAAGTAATACTTGTTCAACTACAAATGGTTCCGTACGTGTATCAATAAGCCCCGTAGACAAATGATGCTAAGCGTACTTTTCAGTATGTTAAGACCCGAGGAGGCAATCACTTGACTTGTTGTCAGAGACAGGCACCATCTCTGTCAGTTTTTAAACATATAATTTATTTAGTTTTTAGTGTTTCACAGTTTAGTTTATGTATTTACAGTAGCATTTCCACTTAATTTTACTATTTTAACTAGTTTTTAGTTCATTATACTTGTATTTATTCATTTATTTGATTCTTACAGTGTTTTATCTTCTTTATCTTTTGATTTTTTTTAAAGAACAATCCTTTTGGTTTTTATAGTCTTTCCATTTAAACTTTTGACTTTATATATTTCTCTGTTAATCGGGGTGGGTGTTTATTTTTATTTTTTTCTCTTTACTTGAAAATTAATTTCAATTTTTACTCAATTGTGGCCCGCAATTGTCTTAAATTTTGAAACCAGGGCTTTTCAGGATAGCAGTTCTACAACTGAGGAAACTACCCTTTTTAAATAAAACTGTTAATAAATAAATAAATAAATAACGAGCTGTTGGACGTCTTTCCGAAAACATGTCGCAGCTCAGGAGTCGCTTTTCAAATGTTACATGAGTTTTCTACTTTCTGCAGAGAAACCTCAAAATGTCTCTCGTTAGCACTGCGTTTCTTGCTTGGGGAAAAACGCAAAAATGCCTCTCAACTTTGGATCTTGGAAAAGGGGAGCATTTTGCGGGTATTGCTGACTTTTTTCTGACCTTTTGGGCAAGGTTGATGACAGTGGCAGGCGAGATCCATTCTCTAGCATGTATGCCCCCTTGGGTGTAAGCACCGAGCCGACCGCTCCCTGTAGAAATCTGTAGGAGGAAACTTTACTGTTCAATGCGTGGCAGAATCTGGAACTTGAACTTTGGTTCGAAAAGCGTAATATATATGTAAAAACATCTGTGCTGTTAACGAATGGTTTGAGCAGAAGCTCGTTATTTGGTTGAAGTCAATAACTGCATAGATTCTTGCACAACAGACTTGGGTGCCTTTCCATATGCCGGTCAACACTTTCGCTAAGAGCTGCACGTCCGTCCAAATCGTTCCCTAGGTGATTTGACGGCCAAACGCAACGCACATGTGCGTTATGTTAATGCAGTCGATTTTTGTGCCCGTGAAAGTGAAACGCATGAACGCATCGTGTACGCAACGCATATGGAAAGGTGCCTCATTCAAAATTCAAGAATAACTGCGAGTGCTATTCACTACATAAAGTCCTGTTTCTGTTTTGTTTTGAAACAAAAAATTGTAAACATCCCCTCACAAAAGTCCAAACAATAATTCGTTCCTTTCAGTTTTTATCCTTGTCCTGTTTTAAATTAAGTCAGGTTCTTTTTCAGGGGAATGGAGGTGGGGAAGGGGGTGAAACTCCTGACCAATGTTGAATCGTTGGTGATTGTCTCCCTACAGAATAATGCCAAGTGGTTGTGTGTTAAAGACAGTCATACATTATGCGATGCTTCTCTCACCTTCAGTGCCTTGATGGGACGTCCCTCAACGGAATTCACCGATATAGATTTCCTTGACTGAAAGGGAACCAGTGGACTCGGCTTGGAAGTCTGTCACCCAGTCTAAGATCTAAACCCAAACAAATAAATATTGAGAAACGAGTTAAGTGACGCACCCCCTTCTATGTGTTATATTACAGCCACAGGGCTAAAGATGTGAAACGACTCTTACCCGTTGTCATTTATCCCATTATCATTCTTTTGAAATTTTTATCTAATTTAATTTCGGATATTTACCCTGCCCGACGTATATTGTAACAATGTATACTCAGTGTTTCCCCCGAAGCTTGTGGGGGAAAAAACGTATTCAGGTGGGACTCTAACTTACGACATCATGCTTACGAGTACAGAAGCCTTAACCAATCGACCACAGAGCTTGTCAGTGTCGGCTGGTTGGTTTGAGTCAAATGTAGCAGCGAGTACCACAAAAAGCTATTTCAAAAGGATGAATTTGCGTCCGGGGGATGTTAATTTAATTTTGGAATTTAAATGTTGGTGGTTTTCTCACAAGATTCTGGGGAAAACACTGAGTATACCGTGTTACAATATACGTCAGGCAGGGCAAAAATCCAAAATTAAAATCTCCCCAACGCAAATCAATCCTTAGAAATTCTTATCTACATAACTTGCACAACGAATGTATGACAGAACGGACAGGGGTGTTTGAGAAAATGAAAATAAAATTTTAAAACAAAATCGTTGGAAATCTGTCATATTGACTTCTTTTGACTCTCTGCCTTAAAAGGTATTTATTAATGGGGAAAAAAAATATGTGCTTGGCTGGTCTGGAAGGGACGTCTTGAATGCCCCAGCCTGTGACTCAGGCATTGAAGACACGGGCATTAACGGTCTTAACTGTTTAAGGCCAGCCAAGCACATAGTTATTCCTTACGAGTCTTGAAATAAGTTTTAGAACATGGCTTGTTCATACTGACATATAGCCGAGTTAAATTTGATCCTATACCTCTTGCGCGCTGTGGTATACATTGTAATCGAAGCTTGCCAAGGATGTGGCCTTCTCACGTGAGATGATAACTTTCGTCTCTTCGTCAATGAGGGCTTGAACGTTGTCAATGTATATCTCAAACTCAATCTGCAACTCTTCCAAAGCTTCCTTGAGCTTGTCCACGTGCAAGGGAGGCACCATCACTTGACTGGGTTTGCCGACGGGACCGGTCTTCCAGAAATCAAACTGTAAGTTGGAAGTAATAGATGAAACTATTTAGTCTCTACAGGGAATTATGTATTGTATTTGGTTTAACCCAAATAAGGACAAAATGTTTCCTAGGCATCATAAGCGCCACTACTCCGTAGACTTCACACAACACACTTTTTTTCGTATGCATTGGCCTGTAAATTTTTGTAGGCCCTGTTTCATTCCGTGGGAATAGGTTGTCTTCTTTTTGTCTCAAATTTTTTTGAATTTCTCCAATTATTGTCAAAAAAATGAAAAAATGTTGAATTTATATTTTGGAAAGACCGGATTTAATATCTTACTCACAATATGGTATAACTGTCTATCATTCCATCCACGCATAATTATTTTGCATCTATGTAGCAACTGCTGCTGATTAAATTTCGTATTCTTTAAATCAAGAATGCTTCTGTATAAATTCCTCCGATACATACGTCGTCCAATAATTCCTTGGCCAAATCCATAATCTGTTGAAACTGCATTCTTGATTTGGGTGTGATTTCGAATACTTGATACCTGAAAAAGGTGGAAAGGTTGAAAATTAATGCAAGCTGAAAGCTGTCTTTTATACATTGTTAATTTACTAGATTCTCCGCTTCACAAACCTTTAAGTTGATAAACTGTGCACCCGATCCGACTACCCACCGCTACTTAGCCTAAGTAGGGCTTGCATACCAAATACGCCATGCTATAACCAGGATGGTATCAAAGGATCGTAGCAAGACTACGTTCGCCTCACTTGTAAGCATGGCATGAAAAGTGGCCCCACTTGAAATACTAGAGAGCCACTGCTTCGGTGCACAAACTAAAAATTGGCTCGCTTACAAGTGTGGCGAACGTAGTCCATGTTACGATCCTATGATACCAACCTACTCACAGCATGGCGTATTTGGAGTACAACCCCACTTGTAAGTAGCGGTGGGTAGTCGGATCGGGTGCACTGTCACAGTCACAAAAGGGCATATAAATTATGTCTGGAGTGTGGCATCCCCGTTGTCCAGTTGTAATCGTACTGGACTTTGCCAAGAACATTAGAACGATTATTTGCGTAGTTTAGCTTGTTTTTGCTCATTGAAGGTATGGACATCCTTAACACACTAACCGTTGACTTCCTTGAACTATTAAGAAACTTACCCATCGTAACTCTTGCCGTACGCGACGGCGAAGAGCGTCAGCAATAGAAATAGCAACTTCATGGCGTCTCGCTCTACGGCTCACACTGCCACAAGCTAACTGGCATGGGCCTCGATAAGTGCCCCTTTTTAACAAAGATTCTAGTCGGGGGGGGGGTCACGCAGAACTTGCAAACCGGACCGAATCGCATTGAGACGCAGATGTTGTAGCTCTCAAGCAGAGCACAGATAAAGCAAGATTATAACGAACTGAGGTTATCTTGTCTACTTCCTCTGTGCAAAGTACAAATTGAAGCAAGGGCCTAATTAGTGGAACTAATTGCGATTTTTTAAACAGATGTTGTAGTGCATTTTATTAGTGTGTTTGAAAATCAAATTATGTTGGGACATTCAAAGTTGTCGGGGATATGTGAGACAAGCAAATGCTTATCCTCTTATTTCAAAAGAGGTTAGTATTTGTCCTTAAATCACCTTCAGGAGACAGAAGAAAAAGTTGAGCAACCACGAGCAACCTTCGTTGCTGTGTCCTGCAGCCAGTCTACAGGTCGATTTTCCCCTGATATAAAAAGGTGTTACGTTATAACCATAATTGGCTACACCTAATATCATCTGTTATCATGTTAACATTAACAGTACTTGAGGTTTGTTACAAACATTTGAAAAATGGGATTTCGAATTTGGCAGAATTGGAACGACTGAGCATTTAATATGTTAGGGTTCACTTTTTGGCACATACTTTAATTGTACTACTTGGATGTTCAACAGGCCCTATGCATTCAAAAGACGCTACGACGTCCCTCCAGTTTAACGCTTATAACCATGTTTGGAAGTCACTTTATGTTTCAAGTTCTTGAATATTGTTGATATTGAAGATGTTTGCGAATGGTTTACCCCTCTTTATGTAATTGCTTAAACAGAGGTATTTGGAATATTGTACCAGCCCTTCAAATTTATTTACACTGTAAAAACGCGGGGGATTCTATTGCCCAGCGTTTGGTACCAGGTGAATTGCCTTATTCAGCAAACAGATTACTCAATCACGTTGATTCTGGGCAAACTTGAGTTTAATTTTACCCAACGGTTGTAGAAAAAGTTATTTATACTACCATTTTAACCTATTTTTATGCTCTGTTTGACCAACAGTTAAGCGATTCACCTGGTACCCCGCGTTGATAAAAGTGCCCATCGTTTTTACAATACAGGAAATTGATTGTGTCATACAATAGTTTTGTAAAAATAAAAATTTGAAAAAAATGAGTGTTTCTGTGGGCTCAGCAAAAACGCTTCAGGATGTCCCTTGCGTGTATTTAAATTTGGTGTCTGTTTCTTGTATATTCATATTGTGGCGGGACAACTGACACCTTTTGTGGCCTGATCGGAGAGGGAATTGACCTGGCCTAACACCACAAATATATTTATTTGACCTTACGCAAGAATGAGCGGCTATCCAAACGCAAGGGGGATATTAGTTAACGAACGGTGGACTGTGTGTTAAGGGCTATTCGTTTGATGGAAGTTTACCACCGCTCTGTGATTAAGTAATTGATTCCAATGTCAATAAATGCAACAATAAATGTCAATATAAGTGATACAGGACTGGACTAAATCTCCCGGTGACCAGTAAAGGCAATTACACGATTGGTTTATTCAATGTCAGTGCTCCAGCAATTAATTATGTATAAACTGATCCTCATGGGTAGGTAGGCAGTCCTACGTGGTTAACTGCACCACGAACGTGATTAGTTAAGAAACCTATCCTTAACCTACACCAGGGTAACCCTCACGGTGATCAGGGTAACCCTCACGGCGATCAGGGTAACCCTCACGGTGATCAGGGTAACCCTCACAGTGATCAGAATGACCCTCACTGTGATCAAGGTAACCCTCACGGTGATTAGGGTAACCCTCACGG